TGCTGCCATCAATGGACAGAATGATAGGGCATCTGCCAAGGGCCCACAGCCCAAGAGCAGCACTCGCTGACAAGATCCTGTTCAATCTGCTGCAGTAAGGACATGGGTTCACTGAGGAAGAGGGATCAGTGAAAAGTATCTTACTTGAGTGCCTTCCAAATCCTGGAGTCAACTCTATATGGCCACCTTTGCCAACCTGGTGACAGAGTGCTGGCTGGGGCTGACGGGAATTGTAATCTGGGGGCACCAGGTTGGCAAAGTTTGCTGTACAGTGACACCTATTACGTGTGTGTGTGTGTGTGTACATATTCTCCATAAAAAATGCATTTGCTGTTGCGTTTGCTAATTTATATGTCTCTATACAAGCAGGTGGCACTGTGGGTTAAACCACAGAACCTAGGGCTTGCCGATCAGAAGGTTGGCAGTTCGAATCCCCACGACGGGGTGAGCTCCTGTTGCTCGGTCCCAGCTCCTGCCACCCTAGCAGTTCGAAAGCACATCAAAGTGCAAGTAGATAAATAGGTACCGCTCCGGCGGGAAGGTAAACGGCATTTCCGTGCGCTGCTCTGGTTCGCCAGAAGCGGCTTAGTCATGCTGGCCACATGACCCGGAAGCAGTACGCCTGCTCCCTCGGCCAGTAAAGCGAAATGAGCGCCGCAACCCCAGAGTCGTTCGCGACTGGACCTAACGGTCAGGGGTCCCTTTACCTTTACGCAAGCACACAATCATTACTTTAACTTATAGAGAAGTGCATTTCACCCTTGTGGTGTTGACAAGGTGTCCTTGTTCAGTCTACTGAATAGGTACTAACTGTTGGTGGACAACTTCAAGGCCCCTGCTGCTCTCCTTTTTTCTGTCTCTTTATACCACACCTAGAACAGACAAAAAAGGAGACTGACCTCTGCACACGTGGCCACCATGGGCGTAGCCAAGGGGGTCAGTTGCCCCCCTCCCAGATCAAGTAAAACAATAGAAATACTTAACTGACCAATCACATTGGTTCTGCCCTTCCTAACAAAAATCCTGGCTACGCCCATGGTGTACACCTTGCCCCAACTTGATTTAGGCAGGAAACCCAACTCGTAGTTCGTAGGACCCTGTCAGTATGAATACCACACATTTTCCAGACTTTTCGTTTTTACTACCGGCAATCCAGAATGAAGAAATTGTCGCTTATTGCTGAGGCTGACTTCTGACTACCCCCAGAGCCTTCAGGCTACAAGCAGCTGAAGGTGAGGCTATTGTCACGCTGCAGTGATGTCAGGAGATTCTACTTGGGCCACAGAACTTGACGTTTCCTACCTCAGGCCTATAGACATTGACCCTCATTGTGTCCTTGTGTCCCATGTCAGAATTCTGTTTGCCACAGCAGAATAAGTCAATGGGGGGGGAGGGATACCAGGAAAGAACTGGCGTCATGCGCCAACTCTCTAGCTGACTCGGCACCAGCCTATGCATTTTCTGATCCATGCCAGCTGGTAATGGGCCCCAAGGGACCTTGCTCCAGCTGGGGATAACTGGAGCATAATTACCGCAATGCACCCCATCTGCCAGGACTGCAGACTCGGCAGTGGGAACACAGGAGCCGAGTACAGCCGGCCACAGTGAAATGTCCTCAGCCCTTGGGGGAATTCAGAGCAATGCAAAAGGGATGCTGTGCTGGGTCTAAATTCCCTCTTGCCAACCATCCTTGCTCAGTTTCTGCGGTCGCTGGAATATAATTTCATGCAGGCTCCCTTGCCGTCCCTTTAAAATAAAAATAATAAGTAAATAAATAAATAATGCTCCCTGAAACAATTGCCACCAATTTGCTATTCCTTTTTACCGTCTGCCAAACAGGTATGACTGAGCAATAGCTCTGTTGGAATCCTAGGTAGGAACTAGCGCTGCAATTCAAAGCAGCGGCGTGAGCAATGCAAGGGTGGAAGGTGGCATGGAGGCTGGACTGGGAAGCAGGCATGGGCCAAAATTCCCTCTCCTTCTCTTCCGTTAGCGGATGCCTCCACTGGATCAAAAGCCCGTCCATGAGCACAAGGGGACCAGTGGGTTCTTCCCATTGATTCAGTGAATAATCGACTGAAATAAGAACAGTTCGTTGGCCAGCAGCACCATTCTGTGCATGTTTACTAAGCTGACCGTGCCTGCCCCTACTAGGGATGAGAGGGAAATCTGATTCGATTAGCATTTAAAGGCGAACCGACTTAATTCACACTTTGCCATTCAATAGGCGAACAATTCGCACTTCTCTGAATTTTGCAGTGCAGTTCTCTAGCCACTTATGTCCACAAGAACATGCCAAGAAAAAAAAATTGTACATTACTGAAAAAGCATGCAAAATATTAGGGTAAACTGCTTTGCATGTGTGGCAAAAAAATGCACACAAAAATCTATACACTAGGAGAAATTCACATTCCAACACTGATGGATTTTCAGCAGGGCTTTTAAAAATAATGTCACAAACCGAGGTGGAAATGTGGAGAACATAAGACTACAAAAATGAGAAATGCGCAGAAAGTGAAATTGACGCAACTTGCATGTCCTTAGCATGTAGAGGTTGTTGTTGATGATGTTTTATTAACTTTGCTTCCCACTACTTTAAAAACTGCTAGCACACCTGATGCACATTGCAATTGACCTTAGACTCTGTTTAACTGTCAGGAAGCGTCAGTCACTGGCTCTTTGTCTTCCAGGTCTTTTCATCCAACAGACTTTGCTCCTTAGACCAGGGCAATGCATTTTGCACCCTATCTCTTATAAAGAATCTTATCAAAAGTTCCTTAAAGAACCAAGTCAATTATATTTAATGGGCTGCTTTTATCTTAGCTTTTATTGATCTCTCCCTCCCCTCTGCCCCATCATCACCACCACCACCTTCAAGAGAGCTATTGTGAATGGGCAAAGCAGACACCTGCTTTTGCACAGGTGCTCTGAATATACAAAGCGTAAAGCTTTGATGATTAAGGTCATCCGTCTCGAATTAGATACTCCATCAGGCTGATGAGCCAATGGGGCTAGGGATGTGAAAACATTTGTAACGCTAGCAAACACCTTTGCAGGTCTAGAGATCACGGTTCTCAGACTCAGCAGTCTAAAATAACAATCAAGAGTAAAATAGTAGTAGCCTACCAGTGTCAAGTCTACATTTCTAAACTTTGAAACTTCCAACTAGAGAACTTCAGCTGTGGAACTTGAATGTAACCCAGAAATCAATAACTGATACATAATTCACTTGAAGTGACAGGTTCACTGGATACAAGGCCAGTCTTTTTCCTGACAAGTGGCTGAATCTGGTCCCCTCTGCTGCACCAGCCTGGAGCTGGCCAGCAAAATAACTAAATAAAGTGATAAATTACCACCATCAGCAGTAGCAGCAGCAGCAGCACACCTTCCACCCTGGCCACGGAAGTCAGCAGGGCTGGAGATATCTTTGTGAATCCACCATTTTGTGGCACCCCAGCCCCAGTGTGGACTGTTCTGACCATTGTTCTGGTCTCGCACAGGGTAAGAAAACACAAATGGAGCTGCAAGTGGATAGATTTCCTTACCTGTTTTCCAAGCATATCATACTTCTATAGCTATGTTAGTGTGAACTGTTAAAAGTCATTACATGCACTTGCTTAGAAGTGAAAGTTCCTCTGAGTTGACATGGTTAGGCTCCTGCCGTTGGTCTTCTTACATAAACCAAGCAATCATATGGCCAAAATCAGGAATTAACTCCAATTATCAAAGGCAACTGGACTCCAAATGGCAAAGTCAAGAACAGGCATGCGCCTTCAAGGCTAGCAAGCTTAGTCTCCAGTCATTTGGAAATAAATCGTGATGAAATCCTTGCCATCCAGATGGGAAACCGGGTTAATCCACCAAAAAAAGAGCGGTAGTGAAAAATGAGAAAAGCAGAAATCAGATTGAATATACAGTATAGGAACCGGCAGAATTGAGAGCATAAAGCTCGGAATTAAGAAGAGAACCATATGCGTCCTGTTTAGAACGAGCACTTCGTTATCTTACTCTAACAATGCAGAAAATAGCAACAAACGGGGCAGACTCCTGTAGCAGAAAAACACAGAGGGACAATTCAAAATGAATGTTAAACAAGAGCACATTTTGAATCCAAGGAGCTCTTTATGAGGAAATTGCAAAGGAACAAAGAAAATGATCCCATAGTGCAAGCGTTCCTTTCCCAAATGTACAAAGTCCTACGGCTGGCCTACATTGCTAAATGAATTGCTCTGTGCAATCATGGTTCATGACCAGAAGATGAAAAGTTAGTGCCCAATGGGTGGTATGTGTGGTGGACCAACAGCCATCTCAAAGCAGTGGTACCCCTGGCTCATGTTAGAATTTGGATGTTGTTGTTGTTTCAGCGTTTAGTCGTGTCCGACTCTTCGTGACCCCATGGACCAGAGCCCGCCAGGCATTCCTGTCTTCCACTGCCTCCCGCAGTTTGGTCAAACTCATGTTAGTAGCTTTGAGAACACTGTCCAACCATCTTGTCCTCTGTCGTCCCCTTCTCCCTGTGCCCTCAATCTTTCCCAACATCAGGGTCTTTTCCAGGGAGTCTTCTCTTCTCATGAGGTGGCCAAAGTATTAGAGCCTCAGCTTCACGATCTGTCCTTCCAGTGAGCACTCAGGGCTGGTTTCCTTAAGAATGGATAGGTTTGATCTTCTTGCAGTCCATGGGACTCTCAAGAGTCTCCTCCAGCCCCATAATTCAAAAGCATCAATTCTTCGGCGATCAGCCTTCTTTATGGTCCAGCTCTCACTTCCATACATCACTACTGGAAAAACCATAGCTTTAACTATAAGGACCTTTGTTGGCAAGGTGATGTCTCTGCTTTTTAAGATGCTGTCTAGGTTTCTCATCGCTTTTCTCCCAAGAAGCAGGCGTCTTATGATTTCGTGACTGCTGTCACCATCTGCAGTGATCATGGAGCCCAAGAAAGTACAATCTCTCACTGCTGCCATTTCTTCCCCTTCTATTTGTCAGGTGATTTTTTTTTATGTTGAGCTTCAGACCATATTTTGCACTCTCCTCTTTCACCCTCATTAAGAGGTTCTTTAATTCCTTCTCACTTTCTGTCATCAAAGTTGTGCCATCTGCATATCTGAGGCTGTCAGTATTTCTTCCAGCAATCTTAATTTCGGCTTGGGATTCATCCAGTCCAGCCTTTCGCATGATGAATTCTGCATATAAGTTAAATAAGCAGGGGGACAATATACAGCCTTGTAGTTTCCCAATTTTGAACCAATCAGTTGTTCCATATCCAGTTCTAACTGTAGCTTCTTGTCCCACATAGAGATTTCTCGGGAGACAGATGAGGTGATCAGGCATTCACATTTCTTTAAGAACTTGCCATAGTTTGCGGTGGTCGACACAGTCAAAGGCTTTTGCATAGTCAATGAAGCAGAAGTAGATGTTTTTCTGGAACTCTCTAGCTTTCTCCATAATCCAGTGCATGTTTGCAATTTGGTCTCTGGTTTCTCTGCCCCTTCGAAATCCAGCTTGCTAGAATTTGGATACATTGGTCCTACGGGGCACCCCCGTTAGGCAGCCACATGCATTACTCCAGCTGTGAAGCATGCAATTGCCATTCCTCTTCTCCACATACATCCCCACCATCACTCTATGCTTTACAACAGCTTCTGCATTCCTGATACGTTGCAGCAGCAACGAAAGTTTGCCAAACCTGATGGAAGGAAGGAAGGAAGGAAGGAAGGAAGGAAGGAAGGAAGGAAGGAAGGAAGGAAAGAAGGAAGGAATACTTGGAGCAGGATCACTTTTGTAATCAAAACGCATTTAAATCATCAAGACTACAGGAATTAAATGCGATTTGCTTCTACTGCTGGCATGATAAAACACATTCAATTGGGAATGAGCACACACAGAAAAAACCCCAAAATGAGCACCTGTAACACCATTCAGTCTGGCTGGCTAGAGACCAATGGAAGCATGCTGTGGCAACCAGCCCCAATGGCCCCAGCATGCCAGGCTATTAAACCTGATGACTATGTTCCACTGCCAAAGGCACTATACCTCTGAATGGTAGTTGCTGGAAACCACAGGAGGGGAGAGTGAAGTTGAATTCAAGTCCTGCTTTCAGGCTTTCCATGGGCATCTGGTTGGCCTCTGGGAAAACAGGATGCTAGACTAGATGAGTCTCTGGCCTGATCCAGCAGGTTCTTGTTAAGTTCTTATGCCATCCCAGCCTAAGTTCTGGTGCCAGGCCTGTTTGCCACTTTCCCATCTGCTGCTCGGGGGGGTGTCATTTGGGGGGCATCATACGGGGGTTTCATGGGCTATGGGCTCCTGGACTTCAGCTCCATAATCCATCCTAGGTAGAAGTACTTTCCACAGGACTCTTAAGGAACAAAGGATGGGATTCTTGCATCCCTGCTGGCTCCTTGCTCTTCCCATGCCTCCAGTTCCCTGACCCTATTGATTATGGCTCTCCTGCTGGCTTTCATGAACTTCCTTCTGATTGCTCTCCCTTGTTGCTCCACACCTTCGAAGAAAAAGAAAAGAACCCAACCCTAAATGCTCATCCTTTGATTTCCTAATCCTGAAACAATGATTAAACAATATGACGTAGTTAAAATACATGCAAATGTCATTGCGTATATCACAAATTCAATTTTGGGTATCAGAAATTAGTTAATTATTAACTTGCTTGGTGCAGAAAATGCATAGATATCACTATGGATCCATATTACGGTAACTGCAAATATATCTGGTTTAGTAGACCCAGCTGCACCCTTATCTGGCTGCAGATAACCTAGTTTCTGTAGTCTGAGCTCTAGTGACCTCACAGTTTGATTACTGTGATGGGGCTACCTTTGAAGATGGTCCAGAAACTGCAGCTAGGGAAGAATTCCAGACTGATAATAAGGATTAAACAGTTCAAATATATAACAACAATTCTGACCTGATTGCAGTGGCTTCTCATATGCTTCTAGGCCCACATCAAAATGTTGGCTTTGACTTTCAAAGTCTTACATACCTTGTGGATTGTTTCTCCCAACTTGAACCTACCAGGGTACCTAAGGCCCTCCTCTGAGCCCTTTTCCAGCAGAATTAGAGAAGGTTGACGCAAGAAAAATGGCCTGTGGAATGCTCGAAGGAGAACCACCTGGCACCAACATTGGTATCTTTTTCATTAATCCCAGGCATTTAGGCTGTTAATTTATATCCTCTGTGATTTCCTGGCTTTGTTAACATCTGTTTAATATGGCGATAATACTTATGCCTGTGAGGATAACTGGTGGTTCTAAATAGTTTTAATTTATGTAGCGTCACATTTAGTTTGTGCTTTTATGTCATTTTGTGTGTGTCGGTGTTTGCACCCTACGTAAATTGCCTTGTATGGTCTAAATGATGTAAAACTAAAGTAACAATATTAAATGATGACAATGAATAGCGAATCTTACTGCTATTTCATTTAAACATGCAGATTACTATTGGCAATAGTTACAGGGCACTTATGTGGACATCTGGAATGAATGCTCTCCTTAAGCGCTGATCAATTCAACAGTTTCCACATTCTCCTTTTCTTCCCAATAATCCCCTTCTCCTTGCCTGCTCCTCTTACACCTTAATTCTCTGTCCACCTCTCTCTTCTCCTACTCATGTTTGCATTGTTTATAATGAAACGAAACGAAAGTTCAATTAAATCCCATTATTTGAGTAAGGGAGAGTGTGTGTTTGTGAGTACAGGAATAACATCCAGTTCCTACAATATGGCTTCTAAAAATTAGCAAACAAGCCACTGAGTATTTATATGAATCTGTGACGAATTATTTAACAATTGGTTTTCTAAGATTCATAGGGTCATGGACACAGAACTAATATAGGGCTCTTGTGTGTTTTGTTTTGTTTTGTTTTGTTTTGTTTTGTTTTGTTTTGTTTTGTTTTGTTTTGTTTTGTTTTGTTAAAAGGTAATCCAGCCAGGGTTGACCTCAGCTTCAGGAACATGAGATGGCTTCTGGTTTCCCTCGCTATGTAACCAAAGAAATGCCGGGCACTTCTGGTTACTATTTGTCCTCAGCGGGAAATGTGAGAATTAGCTCTAAGTGCTGGCGTGTCACTGACATGACTCCTTGTTAGACTTCTAAGAAATCTGCTAGGTTTCTTATTTCCAAAACTCACGTTGGTTTGCTAATACAGAGACTCTGTCGCTTACTTCTCTCCCTGCTACAGCTCACCCTCAACAATGTGGTCAAGTGTACATGTTTTTCATATCTCAGGAGGCCATCAACGTTCATCTAGTGTTGCTTAAAATTCTGCTGTTAAAGGGCGCTGGCTAAACATTTTTTGATGTCAGTATCAAAAAGCTTGCAGATGAGGCTTGTTTGAAGGAAGTAGATGATTGGTGGCGGCTGTCTATCAAAAAAAGAAAAACTGCTACCAACTAAATTGCCATCTGCAAGGTAATACCTCCAAGGCACAAGAAGCCATCAGCGTGAAGAACAGCGTTCTTCAAAACGGTGAACAAAATTAATGGAATGTCAATTCCAGATTGATAGTCAAAATTTAAATATATTACTTAGAAGTGAAATATATTCACACAATACACACATGAGCAGTCCTAAGTTTTCCTGGGCTAGGAATCTGTCAATTTTGGTTTCTCAGTTTTCCAACCTTAAAGTCAGTTCTCTCTACATTTTCACAACAGTTTGCAATTAAAAAAAATAAACGGCCTCATGAAAATTCCATCAAGTTTTTTGTGTGGATTTCTTGTAAGACACATATAAGTTTCCCTAATATAACACATTTTTGTATGTTGTGTTTGCTAATGTAGAGTTTACCAAAGCATGTGCATTTTTGTACAGATCACCTGGCTTGAGAACTACATTGCAGAATTTGGAGAAGTGTGAATTTTGCAGAATCACAATTTTTCAGTTCCTGTAGTGTTCAGGAAGCTGTGAATTAGGCCGGTTCACCTTTAAATGTGAACTGAGTTAAATTTCTCCCCACCCTAGGCACATTGCTTAGGTAGTTAACCACAACGTGTGAACCAGGCTATCATAGATATGGTCAGCAGTAATTCATCTTCTTCTTCTTTTTCCAGAGAGAAGATTGGGGTGGCAGGGGCTGCTCTTTGGGTATAAGTCATGTCAGCACCATGCATTTAAAGCAGAATCATAACTTTAAACAGTCAGGGCTTTCCCACAAAAAAACCTGGGAACTGTAGTTTGCTGAGAATTGTTAGGAGATCTCTATTTCCCCTAAGAGAGCAACCATTCCCAGAGTCGTTTAATAATCAATGCCTGTTCTCAGGGAACTCTGTGAATGGTAGCTCTGTCAAGGGAATTAGTGTCTCCTAGCAACCCTGTGTGCTCAGCAAACTACAGTTCCCAAGATTTGTGGGGATATACTAGTGCTTTAAATGTATGGTGAGGATGTGGCCTGAGAGTCTTCTGTATTTTATTCTTTAAAAATATAATTTGATATTTCATTACCCAGTTAAGAGGATCACAGGCAATGGCTAGCAGGATAGCTCAGTCACTTTGTAAACTCAAGGCAGTTCTCAAGGAAAACGATAATTTGTATGACTTTTATGACTTTGATACTCAATTCCGTAAATCCAACTGCTGAGCGTACATCATTTAAAATAAAAGGTATTCGGTGATATAATTCAGCATTAGGTTTGCTAAGGAGGGGCTCTCAAGAAATCAATATCAGTGAAGAAGAGAAGGAGAACATGGCAGTGAGATCATACTTGAGTTTTGAAGAACATGATTTAATCATTAAAGAGAACATTATTGCTTAAACTTTAAGGAAATGCATAATGTGCTCTATTCTACGGACAAGCATGAACAATAATCCCAAGGATTCCATGCTGCAACCCAATACCTATTTATCTGGGACTTACTTTTGAATCTATAGCTACAGCTATAGCTATATCTACTGTATATCTGTCAGTGAGCTTCTCATCATTAGGATACACTTCAAAAGCAATTCAGAAAGCTGCTCATTGTCAAAAGGTGAGATCTGACTCCATGCTGTTCATACGTAACAGCCATTAGGCCACCAGAGAGGATTTTAGTTCAGTTGCAAGCTATATACTTTTGCAGGTATAATGCCAGAAATTTATTCCCTACCATCTCCAGTATTTGTTTTACATTTATGTCCCACTTTTCAAGAAATTCAAACAGGGTACAGAGAGCTTCAAGATAGTCTCCTCTGCAGGCGCTGCTTAATTTCTAGAAGTCTGCATCATGTGCCTTAAGACTTTAAAAAAAAAAAAAAAATCTGCCTTGTTCTTCAATGCAAATACATGCCCAGACTGGGTTAAAATTAGTCTGGACACAACATACCAGAACGAAAAGCAAGGCAGATGGTTACAACCTTCCAACTGAAGAAAAAAACCCCCAATACTGCCAAGTCCACCAAAAGTCTGGGCGAATAACCAGCCCCATGTCAGACAGCCAGTGCAGTTCTTTCAGAACTGGTGTGAGATGTTTGCCACAGCCTCTCCAGTCCAGAGAGAATCCTGGTCACCATATTTTGCACTAGCTGCAGTCTTTGAACCAACTTCAAATAGAGCAGAATTTTGTAATGTAGGAAGCACCGCTTAGAAAGAATGCACACAACCAATTTGCTTCAAGGGGACTTAGGACTCAGCCACACATCCTTTTGTGTTGCACTTTCTAGGCACAGGATTTCCAGGTCGAGGTCCAAGCATTGTACTTTTTTGCCCCACTGCCTTCCCACATTTTACTGCTGAATTGGAGCTAACGGCAATCTGTGGGAAAGGAAGTGTCACAACTAACATGAACTGGAATGGGATCTCTGCATGTCCCAAGCATCAGCCCCATGCAGATAGTTCACCAGGCCCCTGGTTTGTGGCCTGCATTCAGCTAAACAGGTCCCAAATGCCTTATCGTTTATTTTCCTTACTCTTCCAAATATGCCACTGCAATAATCCTGAATCTTCCTGCATCTTGAACTTTCCAGTGCATTATAACATGTGGTGATGTTGCTGGTCCACATTGCTCAAATCCTGTTTTCTCCCTCCAATTCCTCCTTCATACAAAAAAGCTGACAGAACTGCCCTCATTTAGACCTCTGCCAGTATGTGCACTGAAACAGAAGAAAGAAAGAAAGAAAGAAAGAAAGAAAGAAAGAAAGAAAGAAAGAAAGAAAGAAAGAGTTCTTCTGTAAATACGTTTATAGGCGGCAAAGGTGATTTACTACCCACTTAGTTAATCCCTATAAAATGGCACAGTTGAACGCCTTTAAGCTGCATGCATACAAATGATTAATTAAACACACAGTTAAATAGTTTGACCTGGCAAAACTCAGACCATTAAAACCATTACAGTAATGGAGCTTCCACTTCCCTTTAGGCACAAAGGCTTTCGATGAAAATATAAATTTGTATATTTTCTAGACCTATGGGTATAGGGCGGTATACAAATGTAATAAATAAAAATAAATGAATAAAAATAATACAAGCCAAGAGTGGGCTGAAGAAGGTTAAGTTGGATGGGGGGGGGGGAGTCTATCCTTGTTTGAATAGCATGACCAGAAAACACCTTTCTGTCTTTCAGAAACTTACAATGCAATATTGATTGATTATGGAAAGTGTTGGGAGACTTTAAAATAAGTGGGGTTGTTTGCTAATGGGTCTAATCCTGCACACTGAAAAGTAAGGCCCATTGAATTCAGTGGCACTGCCTTCTGAGTAAACAGACATGCAATATATACCACTCTTAATAGATTTAATTGGTAGAATAAAGCTTTAGCCAATTATCCAGTCAAGACGAATTTTAAACTTCTGGAATTTGAGCTTGAATTGGTGGGGCTGGAAATTAAGAAGACTTAAGGGCACACATGTTTGGAGTCTCTTTTCATGCTACTGTAGCAGGAAATTAAAAAAGAAAAGAATCAGCTTGGCTTCCCCACTTCTGATCATTCTTGTTTTGTTTTGTTTTGTTTTGTTTTGTTTTGTTTTGTTTTGTTTTACTTACTAACCAAAGTCACAATTCCATGGATAGCTTCTTCCTAGTTTTAACTCCTCCCCAGTTATTGCCAGCAAGACATCCTATATTATAGCAGGTACACAGATAAGGCGATAAAAATGAAACTGCTTTAGAGCTGGCCGTTATACTATGCTCAGGCAATGTTCATTCCGTCAGCTTAGCATTAACTGTGAGAAGCATTTTTATAGCAGGCAAGGGCGCCTTAAAAAGTTTAATATAGCAAATTGCTTGTGCAGGCTTGCATCTTCTGAGTGAATTCCACTGCCGACTCCAATGTATACCTTCATGAGTTCTGTAGAAGGCAGAGCTGACCCCCCAAGAGAAACTGCTAACCTCGAAGGAGAGAGGGTCACGGCATGTGGAATGCAAGCAGTAAATGGGAAAGGCTTGCCCCACACCTGCTTCTCAGTAGTGGCATGCCACAGGCTAGCATTGACATGGCATAGCTTGTTGGCATACCATGGTGGCAGGGGGCGGGGAGGAAGAGACACGGGACATGCCATTTATTTCAACAGCACGCATTCTGTGAACACCACAGCGTCCTGCAGCTTCTCCCCTTCTCTTTCAGACTCTAACAACTTGCTGACAGTCAACACAATGTGATGGGCATTCCAGGCACAGGGCGGCTTAGATGATTCACCTTTCCTAATTAATTATCTGCACACGTGGTCTTAGGCAGACATCCAAGATGCCAAAATCTCTGGCCACGTGCATTCACAGTTAAAATATCTCTGAACAATTTTTTGTTGCAGAAAGAATCAAAACAAACAAACCAAAACACAGTGCTGTTCGTAGGCTATTCTTTATTTTCCCCCCTTGTAGGCTATTCTGAAAAGATAGACCCAGTTCCAGTCGATCAAAACCGTCACATCAAAGGAGCTGGCTTATTTCAAAATACATAGCTTCACCCACTCCTTTTGCAACTTTCCCCTTTGGAGCTTATGTTAGCTGTTAGGTTAGCCTGCTGTTACTATTCCTCCAGATTTCTTATGCTTTTTAATAAAATGCTCCCAATTAATGCACATTTAATTTATAATAGAGAATTATGGATCCTATTACCTGCCAGAGGGATGAAGAACTATGGCACATGAGGGCCCATGGACTCACTCTGCCAAATGGTTTGGGTATACCTGCCAAGCGCCCCGTTTTCAGTGGGATGGCTGACTTTCTTTGAGCAAATCCTGGGCTCTGCCTTCCTCCTGGGGTATTCTGGTTTCATGCAGAGGTGAGTGCCAGCAAGGGGAAGGCAGGTGGTGTGGCGCTCTGGTGTGCCAGAGTGTTGGACTGAAAGATGTGTATCTTTCAGTCTGGCTCCCTGGAGCAAATCAGCAGGGTTGTGTCAGAGTGTTAGACCAAAAAAGGAGTGTCTTCTGGTCCAACACTCTGGTGTGACCCTGCTGATTTGCACTAGAGCACCAGACCGAAAGACGCTCAGCTTTTGGTCTTGTGAGACCAAGAAACGGATGTCTTTCAGTCTTGTGATTTTGTGCATGCGTGAAAGCTCAGGACCAAAAATGTAGCGTCATGGTTTGGGTTGGGGGGAAATGTTGGGTGGTATGTAGAGACAAGCCCTGCTCAGGCCTCTGTGTGCCTCACCACAGCAGAAACCAGTATTGAAAGCAGCTTTCTGTTTGACTCTGACACAGACATGCAAGCAAGAGAGTGCAAGAGTCATGAAAATGTGGCAGAACTACTTTTTCTGTGCTGTGCTTTATGCTACCAATGGGAACAAGGAAAGACCCAGAAGCCTTCAGAACAAAGCAACTATTTCACACCTTCTGCCCAACTTCCACCTGGAGCACTTGCTGTTCCAACCTCACTCAAAACTTCCTTTCATTCTTCTTCCTCCTGCCAGCTGAAGGCCTCCAGGTTTTGTTCAAGTTCACTGGCAGTTCACTCGACCCTCCGAGCAGCAAGTCCAAGGCTTTGAGTTCAACCTGTGAAGTCCTCTTGTCCTCAAGGCATCCTCTGGTGACTTGAGCAGTGAAGGAAGCATCTGAATCCTTCCAAATCATGTTCAGTTTTTGCTCTGCCTTTATGGAAACATTTCTTCTTGGTGGAACTGCCTACAGAGGCCAACAAGCAATCAAACTGAAAATATTTTCCTCTAAAGACAACAGAAAGGATTTAAGTGTAACTTAGGCTGTCTACTTAAAGCACACCCACCAAAGAATCCCAGAAACTGTAGTTTGAGGATGGGATTGGCCATTGTAGCCCTGTAAGAAATAAACAACAGTTCCCAAGATTCAGGGAAAGGCACTTTGAATGCATTGTCTCAAATCTTTGGTGAGGTAGGGATTTTCCCTGCATGTGAAGGCAGGCTCCAGCAGATTGAGCAGACAAGACCAATAGTGGGTCCAATGGTCAAGAAGGTAGAGGGAAGTAAGAGCCAAGTGAGGCTCAACAACCTGAGAAGGTAGCACATGTAGGAGAAGGAAAACTCTGGTCCTAAACCTCCAGTGCCTTCACATTCAGGAGAAGAAAAAGCTAAGGAGTAAACCCTACACAAATCCGGAGTGAAGTCCCTAAAAAAGTTGGATGGCAAGTTGTACAGCAACTCCTGCAGCCAAGCTGGTGCCAAATGTATTGCTCTGCTTTCCTTTGGACCACAGCTGTGAAGCCAAGAGGTCTTGTTGTCTGGGCAGCCAAGGACTTCCATACACACTGCCCAGGCTTGCACCCCAGGGAGGTCACTTGGTACTGCTATCACAGCAGTTTGCACACTCCATTGTCTCTAGAGATGGATGAATGCCAACAAGACACCACTGCTGGCAGGCACTTAGCCTTTAGCTGGTCCACACGCGGATCCTCTCACATCCTACTGATGCTTATCCCTGGAACACGAACAGTAAATCATTGAATAAAGCAAACAAAAAACCTTTGGTGGGCCAATAAGACAGGAGGAAGAATCGTACAAGCCATTTAACCTATCTCCTCAAAATACAGAATTCTTCCACAATAGATTTCCCCTCCAACACCCCAAAACAAGACCACCAAGCCTTAAGAGCCTTCTAAACTATAAGACCCTGGGAGCTGGCTTTATACCTGGGGCCAGGATCAGAAAACCAGAATCGAAGCTTAAATATTGTAGTTCATTTCCCCTGATATGCTCCAGAATTCTCAGTCCACCCTTCAACATCACTCTGCTAAACTTCAGTAATCTAAAATCTGCCCCACACATTCTCCGTTTCCAAGCTGCATCATAAGGCAATGCTGTGCCTGCATCTGGGATGACATAAATCAAGTAATGGTTGCAAATCACATCAGGGCTTTTCGTTGTGGCAAGTGATTCTTGAATTCAATAAATCTAATGTAAACCTAAGAAAGACACTGTAGTCTACATGCATTTATATTTACTTGACAATGTGGATTGCCTTATTGCATTGGCTGGATCAATCCATAAGCCTTTTGACCTGAGATACAGGAAGGTTTGAAGAAGTGAAATCATCCTGCCTCCATCAAATTGCTAATGTGCCAAAATAACCCAATCTGATTTTTTGGGAGGGTCTCTCTCTCTCTCCCTCTCTCTCCCTCTCTCTCCCTCTCTCTCTCTCTGCAGCGTATAGCTCTGATTTGTTCTTAAAGCATGTGGCCTTTCTTTCCTTTTTAATTACCATGTGAATATGCTTTCCATGTTCTGCTTGAATCACACAGCCAAAAAGGGAGGCACATTCTGACCAGAGGGGGATGAGTGATGTGAGGTGTGTGAAAGCGCTAATCTGAACTGGTAATGACAGAAGAAGTGGCCCAAACCATTACCATTAAGCTCTCTAATGAGAAGGAAACATCTGGAGTTTTCAAGGCAGTGACAGAATGAAAAACCTTTAGAACATTACATCCTAGCCATCTGAATCATCTTACTTAAAGACCATTTCTCATTCTACTTAAAGCAGCAAGAATGCTGTGAATTGCCACCACAGCATGGTGTACTGCAACAAACCTTCGTTGATTTATACAGTGGTACCTCAGGTTAAGAACTTAATTCATTCTGCAGGTCCATTCTTAACCTGAAACTGTTCTTAGCCTGAAGCACCACTTTAGCTAATGGGGCCTCCTGCTGCCGCTGCGCCGCAGCTGCACAATTTCTGTTCTCATCCTGGAGCAAAGTACTTAACCTGAGGTACTATTTCTGGGTTAGCGGAGTCTGTAACCTGAAGCGTCTGTAACCTGAGGTACCACTGTATATTACTCCAGAGCAGGGTAGTCTGCACTATAGAATTTATGGGTGATATTCAGCCATACTCAAGAGTAGATTCTGAATATGGATTGACAGTTGAAGGGCTGAGGCTCAGTGGCAAAGTGTTTGCTTTGCATCCAAATGTCAAGTTGGAGCTAGGAGAGACCCCTGCCTGAAATCTAGAAGAGTTGCTGGCAGTCAGTCAGTATAGACAATACTGAGGTAGATGGACCAATGATCCGACTCTGTATCTTTTTTTCTGTTGTGTATTTTGTGTTCTCATTTTGTATTTCTATGCTGTAAACCATCCTGTGATTATTGGATGGAGGGTGGTACGTATATAAATTTAGTAATTTATGAAATTATAAAGGTCTGCTCCCGGGGACCTTGAATGTGACTTTCGTTGGCTATAACCCCATACAATTTATCCAAAATTAAGGTCCCCCTTTTCATATCAAAAGCAACCAACTAGCTCAGCTGGTTAGAGCAACGGCTGATAACGACAAGTTTGCAGGTTCGATTCCTGTGTGGGATAGCTGCATAGTCCTGCATTGCAGTGGGTGGGATCATCTATGATTCTCAGGTTCCCTTCCAACTCTATGATTCTATGAGCCAAAAGGCAGCCTATGCCCATTATAGACTTAGAATAGTCCAGGCACCCAGATCTGAGCACAGGCAAGGTTCTCCTGCCCCTGAACACTTGGAGCAGAAGCATAAACCGGGTGCGTGGCAGCACAGATAAGCAGCCTAGTGAGCTCCTGCAGCAAAAAGATGGCCAGACTGAGATAACAGGGCAGATCTGTCATATATTTGTCAGGAGTGGCTCCCTGAGATCACCTCACTCCCAGGACCAAGTGCATTCCGGGTTGCGGTCAGTGAGCTTGAACTGCCTGCAGTTCCCTCTTCAAACCATCCGCACTGATTGTGAAGGCTAATAAATATCAGGGGCTGATCTGCAGGTTTGAGCCCCATGGCTCCTGACACCAGATCCTCTGTAGATGCAGAGGAGGCGTTGGTCCCATGGTCACTCAAGCCTACTTGAGATCCTCCTCAAAACTTGGCATCTTCCTTGAACAGGAGGATTTTTTCCCCTTTTATACCGAGGCTGTTTCTGCCCAATTACTTTGCCTTGGAACTGTCTCAGCAGGCTATCTCAGGCTTGGCGCTCCCTCCATTAGAGGCACTGACATTTCCTTATGATTTGTATTACTCTTCTGCTGCCGCTCGCCTCCAACACAGCGGGAATAGCAATCACTCTATCTATAAGCTGATGTCATCGTGCCAGAGCAAAGCAAAAGAGAAGCACTAAGCTTCCCTCTTTCTTGCAGAAATCTGCATAACACACAACTAGCTACCCCTGTATAATGGTGGAGAGCAAAGCCTTTTTTCCCACAACATCAAAAGCCCTCCTTGGGCATTATAAAAGAGCTGCAGTGAACACATGAGGGAGGAGGCTGTAGGGATCAGTATGTTGCTCGACCCTCTTGGGTACCATTTCCATCACCTCACAACTTGTGGAAGGCAACAGTATGAAGCCCTGGACATTTTTGAACCCTGATGATGCAGGACTCTAAAACATTTTTTCTCAAACTTTTGGGGGCCACACCAGCTCCTTGGTTCTATAAACACATCCCCAGTGCCCCCTACTCTACTCTTCTCTACCCTACCCTATAAAAAGCATTATTCAGAATACAGTGGTACCTCGGGTTAAGTACTTAATTCATTCTGGAGGTCCGTTCTTAACCTGAAACTGTTCTTAACCTGAAGCACTACTTTAGCTAACGATTTCTGTTCTCATCCTGATGCAAAGTTCTTAACCCAAGGTACTATTTCTGGGTTAGCGGAGTCTGTAACATGAAGCGTATGTAACCTGAAGCGTATGTAACCCGAGGTACCACTGTAGCTGTTTCCATGACCCACTAAAGAAGATAATAACAATAAAATTTAAAACAGAAACAATTAATTGCACGTTTATTCAAAATCTAATTCAAAATATTTTGTTTAATTGACTCAACCAAGCTGATGAACTTGATCCAGTGATACCAGATTTTCAAAGTCTGATAGTCATTGACACCTCCAGCGCCCCCTTGCTGCCCCCTTTCCTCTTAGCACCCCCCTGGGTAATCTCACACTCCCCCGCCTCCAGGAGAAAGTATAACCCACTTTGGGTGCCACTGCTTTAAAGTATATGGGGCGTTCCCATAGCTACAGAAGACAGTTGCCTTCAGACAGTCACAAGTTGGAAGGCAACAAAAATGGGAGGCAAAGGTGGCCCACTAATTCCCCCTACCCTTCTCCCTGCCCCCTTCACATTTTAACGGTCACTTGAAAAGGGTTAACTTGTTTTTCATAATAATATCCAACCCATGGATGTTACGGAAAAGGTCACTCTGCCATATTTCGACTGCCACAACTTTGTTCCCATTAAAACTCATGGGAAAGTTTGTTGCTTGCTTGCTTCACTTACAGTATGAATCACTTCCCATAAAACATTCCAAAGCAATACAGTTACACTCTGGGATTAAAAATAATAATAACCTGAAAGGCTTTATGGGAAAGGGAGGTCTTCCTTAGACATCAAAAAGACCACAGAAGCGGCTCCTGTAGAGTTTTTCCCTCCCCACTTTCTCCTCACAGGAGGCCCTCTACAGGTGTGCGGAAGAAGCTTCAGATACCATGGCCCCTGATCCTATAGCCAAAGCTAAACATATGCTCTGAACCCTGGTCACTTTAAGCTGGAGAAATAATGGGTACTCTCCTCATCATTGGCCAGCCAGTGCCGGCCAGGAGCATTGATACGGCATGTGTCACTGGAGCAGCTCTCAGGCCAAAGAAGTTGCAGAACTGAGTTTTCCTATACCACAGGGGGTATTGCTGTAGCCACAGGGGGTATTGCTCCTAATCTGGGCAGTGGCCCAAGCCACTACTGATGTTCCAGTCAGGGCAGAGGCGTTCAGCCAATCATCCTGCCCTCCCTTCCTGCCACCTCCATTGCTACAACCTGCCTATCAAGGGAAGGAGCTTTTATCATTTGCTGCAAGGGCTCAGGCAGCAAGTATCCAGGGAGCCAAGGCCCTTGCCTGGAAACATAGAGGTGGGTAGATCAGGCCACAGTCATGCAAGAAAGCCATTGCAGTGTGTCCTCCAACACACTGGGATTTTGGAACTATTTTTGCTTATATACAAATGCAGTAGGTTGATCGTCTAGTTGACCTCATCTCATCTAACTGACAGCAATTTCTTAAATGAAGTGGCAGCTAACTTAAGACAGTGGTATAAAAGACTGAAACCCATTCAGTAGATAAGCCTATCCATGGCACTTAAACACAAATGCAAGTCTCTGTGTTCAGAAGCAGCATATTTTGGGTTATCAGAACCTGTGTACAAAGGAGAATGTTGTCTTCATCTCCTGTTTGCAAGTTTCCCAAAGTCATCTTACTGAAACAGAATGTTGTGCAACAGAGTGTTTTCATAGATCCATAAAATTTGAGAGTTAGAAGGGACCACGTTCAACCCACTGCTAAGTGCAGGAATCTTGCACCTGAAACATCCCTGGCATATGCCATCCAGCCTCAGCTTAATAGAATTTGTAGGGCTGTATCAAAGTGTTACTCAGAGTAAACTCACTGAAACTAATGAACGTGACTAAATTCAGTCCATTATAATAGCTCTACTCTTAATAAAACTTAGTAGAAGACCACCCATTTAATTTTAATGGGATTTTGAAGGTCATCCATTCCAACTCCCTGCTCATGGAGGAATTTCAGCCCCGATCCAACCAGGATCTTCCTATTTAACTAGTGATCTTAAAGGCAATCACTCATTTTCCTTCCTTAAAAATGTCCGGGGGGGGGGGGGTTCCAATGGCAGACATTTGCAGTGGTCAGCAAAAAAAGGAAGGCATGAGAGAATAAAAATGTTTTAAACATTTTTGCCACATTCACATAAAACGATGCCTTTCACAATGGTGTTCTTTAGAAATATCTCTTTGTGCATTTTGTGTTATGTGTTAAAATTCCCCTGTTCTGCCTCTAAGCACACAGCTGCCTTGAATTCACATATTGATTAGTACAGCCACTGAGTTATGTGTTCTGATGAATGGCTGGGTGAATGAACAAGACCCTCACTGTATTTCTAAACTACTGTTAAAAATAAACTTTCTGGGTCATGATTACAAGAGGAAATTAGCTTCAGACCAACAGTTTAATGAAAGCTAGAATGTTTGCAGCTAGTTTATGTGAGGGAAAGGGAAATTGTCAATTTGGCTGGACTCTAGGGATAGGAGCAGCTTTGTAGGGCACGGTGGAGACTGAAGGCCAAACTAGAAAAGGCCTAAATGTGTTATTACAAACCCAAACCAATGGATTCAAATTAAAAGAATGGAGGAAAAACCTTCTGGCAATAAGAGCTGTTTGATAGTGGAATAGGCAACCTTGGAAGGTGGTAGACTTTCCTTCGTTCAAGGCTTTTAAACAGAGGTAGGATTGCCATATTTCAGGGATTCTGCTATTCCTGCATTGTAGGTGAATGGACTAGATGACCCTTGATGTCATTTCCAGCTCTGCAATTCTATGATTCTATGGAACAGAGGGAGGAAACATCACATTGAATAGGAATGGGGAACCATTATCAGCCTGAGGGACTCATGGTGGTGAGGACAGAGGCAAAAGCGGGTGAGTGAAAGATAAAAAACGGGTGGGAAAATGGGTGTGACTCTCACCTGTGTACCTGTGTACATTCAGGCCATACATAGTCTGAGGTTTCTATGCAAATAATAATAATAATAATAATAATAATAATAATAATAATTTTATTATTTGTACCCCACACATCTGACTGGGTTGCCTCAGCCACTCTTGGCAGTTTCCAAAAAAATATCTAAACACAGGGCTACCTTCAGATGTCTTCTGTGTAGTTGTTTATATGTTTGGCATCTGATGGGAGGGTGTTCTGCAGGGCAGGAGCCATTAATGCAGAAGCATAACAAACATTCATATCAAAGCATCAATGGCAGCATTTTGCAGCATTTCCATTTTGAAGAAGAAGAAGAAGAAGAAGAAGAAGAAGAAGAAGAAGAAGAAGAAGAAGAAGAAGAAGAAGTATGCAGCCACAATATACAGTATGCATGCCTTTAAGATAGAAAACAAAGCCTCTCTCTCTCTCTCTCTCTCTCTCTCTGTGTGTGTGTGTGTGTGTGTGTGTGTGTGTGTGTGTGGTTACTGTTCACCTGTAATGCATTAAACCAATATTCAGGCATTCAACCTGAAGACATGAGGGTATATAGTGTGGAGGGTATCAGTGGAAAAGCCCTGATCTGGGAGTCTGAGAAGTCCCCCAAGAAATTTCTAGCCATGGCACTCTCCCCCTCCCCACATAAGCTGTATTGTGGGCCTCTGCAATCCCATGGAAGTTTCCTTCCAATCTAAGGATCAGGATCCAATAATCAGAGTGGGGTTGGCGGAGTCCTTGCTTTGGTGATTGTTACAACACCATTGTGTTCACCACTTGGCCCCTTTTGACTCTAAATTCTCAGAGTCAAGG